CAACTGCAGTCAATCAATGAACCAAGGTTAAACAGCTATGTTCAAAGTATACTATTTATGTCATTTATGCTGGCTGTTGAGTGACTGAATCTAGCCAAGTTTGGGGAAGGTTTTTCACATTCTAAATGCTATCCAGAACATCACTACAGGAAGAGTCACATAGCAATGCACGAAAGAAGAAAGTTTTGAAGATATGTGAACACATTCAAAGACTTTAAAGATTCTGCTGTTGAAGAAATCATAAGTAACAAGGTATTAGTGCTTGGGTAACAGCCAGAATTGGACACTGAAAATGAGGATATTCCTGAGCTTGTTGGCATTGAGGCTGAAAAGCTTTCTATTCTTTTTTTTTAACTTTTTTTTAATGTTTATTTATTTTTGAAGAAGAGCGTGAGCAGGGGAGGGGCAGGGGGGGAGGGAGACACAGAATCTGAAGAAGGCTCCAGGCTCTGAGGTGTCAGCACAGAGCCTGACGTGGGGCTCGAACTCACGCAAGGTGAGATCATGACCTGAGATGAAGTCAGATGCTTAACTAACGAGCCACCCAGGCGCCTCAAGGCTGAAAAGCTTTCTATTGAGAAGCTAATCAGACTGGGGGAAGAAAGAGAAGTTTAGGCAGAATAAGTTACGCATGAAGCACCAAGAAAGTTCACAGCAAACAAACGGATAGAGGTAACTGCTACTATCAGCAGTGGGTAGGGATATTAGAAGAAATGGATGTCAGGTACAAGACATTAACAAGAGCTGACAGGCTGATACAGGGTACTCTTGCTTGCTGCAGAGAAATATACAATGAAAAGAAACAAACTGCACAGTCAAAACCTGCTATCTTCCTAAGGAACACGATACTGGCTACACCATCAACAAACGCTGATGCCCTGGTGCCTTCCACCAGCTACTCTCTTTCATAAGAAAAAGAGACTGATGATCCCGTCACCTTAGCACCCCCATTACCCAGCAACTAATTTTAGTTCCTCATCTCACACATTCTTTAGGCCTGGTGTACTTTCGGCTGTGTATGTTAAGTACCCATACAATCACTGTTTTTCACTTTCAGTATAGTATTCAATAAATTACATGAGATATTCAACACTTTAGTATAAAATAGGTTTTGTGCGAAATGATTTGCCCAGCTGTAGGCCAACGTAAGCATTCTGAGTATGTTTAACAAAGGCTGGGCTAAACTGTGATGCTTAGTGGGTTAGGTGTACTAAATGCATTTTTAACCATGGTATTTTCAACTTACGATGGGTTTACTGACATGTAACTCCATCATAAGTCAAGGAAGATCCGTACAGGAGTTTGCAAAAAAAGAAATGTAACATAAAATATCTTGAGATTTCAAGAAGAACAATGGAATGGATAAAAATATAGGTAAACACGTTACACTTCTCATGGGTTGTGTAAAAATTGTTTGATAGTTGAAGCAAAAACGAACATCATCCAATATGATGCTCAGTGTATGAAGAGGAAATACTTCTGTAAAAGGACCCAATGAAAGTTAAGGTTTCTACAATCAAAGTGCTAAGATGTTGATACTGTAGGCTGTGATAAATTACATATATATGAAACAATACCTAAAAAAACAGTAAAATACAAAGACTTATACTCAAAGTCATCACAGATATATCTATTAGAATTCTAAAAATTAAAGTAACCCACAGGAAGGCAAAGCAAAAAACAAAACAAAAAATAACCCCAAAACTGAGGAACAGTAAACAGGCAACAAAGAAAAACCAAATCATAAACTAGCCGACTTATGCCCTAACATATCAATAATCATTTTAAATTTAAATGGTCTAAATATAGCAATTAAAACAAGAAGTCAGGAAAATGGGTAAAAAGAAAGCGTTACCCAAATACGTGCTATTCACAGAGGCTCACTTCAAATGTAATGATATAGACAAGGTTGAAAATAAAATTATGGAAAAATATAAACCAAAAAATGCAAAATATTAACCCAAAAATGCAACAGTGACTACATTAAATCAGATAAAGTATATTCCAAAGAAAAGTTAAAGGGGCAAAAAGAGACATTACATAATGATAAAAGGGTCAATACACTAAGATGATTTAGCAATCCTAAATGTGTATGCACCTACAACAGACCTTTCAAATACAGCAAAAACTGATAGAACTTAAAAGGAGAAAGACAATTCCAGAATTATACTGCAGGACTTCCAACATCCCTCTCTCAGCTCTTGATAGAAATATTAAACAGAAATCAGCAGGGACCTAGAAAATCTGAATAACATCATCAACCAACAGGATCATGTGGACATTTATACAAACTCCACCTAACAACAGTAGAATACACATTCTTTTCAAGCCAACTTATATAACATTCACCAAGATAAACCATATTTTGGGTCATAAAGCAAACCTCAACAAATTTAAACAGCCAAATCAAATATAAAACAAACTAGATGTGATTAACAAAGAGAGCATGAAATACTTCAAACGCTAGGAAATTAAACAACATACTTCTAAATTATTTATGGGTTAGAGAGGAAGTCTTGACTAAAGAAATTCTTAGAACCAAATGAAATGATATTAAAATATATTAAAACTTGTAAGGAAAGTGCTGTGAGGGAACTTTATAGAATGTAATGCTTACATTAGAAAAGTAAAAAATTTCAAATCAGTATTCAAAACATCCGTCTCAAGAAACTACAGAGGAAAATACCACCAAAGCAGGTGGAAGAACAGATATAATAAAGATCGATACAGACATATCAGTGAAATTAGGAACAAAAAGATAATAGAGAAAAAACAGTGGTATAAAGTGCTGCTTCTTTAAAAAGATTTAAAAAATTTGATAAACATCTGAGATTCACAAAAATAAAAATAACCGGCACATTTTCAATATCAGGAATATAACAGGAGATATAAGTACAGATTCTTCCATCATAAACAACATAATAAAGGAATACTTGAAACAAAAAAGAAAATTTAGATGAAATGGAACAATTCCTAGAAAAAGACAACTACAAAAATTCATCCAATGTGAAATAGATATTCTGAACAATTCTATACATATTAAATAAAATAAATACATAATTAAAAAGCATCCAAAAGAAAAATCTCCAGGCATAAATGGTTCACTGGAGAATGCTACCAAACATTAAAGGAAGAAATGAAACCAATTCTATGCACTATCTTTCACATAACAGAAGAAAGAACACTCCCAATACATACTGGGAAGCCACTATCATCTAGACACCAAAACCAATGACAGTACCAAACACAGACAAAAACCAAAGAAACAAAAATGAACAAAAGAAAGAAAACTACATATCATTATCACTCATGAAATTAGAGGAAAACTTTCTCAACATACTAGCATATTGAATACTGCAATACAATATATAAAAATAATTACACTCTACAATCAAGTAGGACTTGTTTCAAGAATACAAAGCTGCTTCAACATTCAAAACTCAAATCAATGTAATACATCATATCAACAAGCTGCAGAAGAAAAAAACATGATTGTATCAATTGGCAGAGAAAAAGCGTATGACAAAATTCAACACCCATTCACAATAACAACAACAAAAAAAACCCACACCAAATTAGGAATATGGGAAAATTTCTAAACTTGATTAAGAAACTTCTATGAAGAAAACCTTATACTAACATCATACTTGACAAAATACTGAATGTTACCCCCCTAATATCAGAAACCAGACAAGGATAGCCTTTCTTACTACTACTATTCAATATTGTATTGGAAACCCTAGCTAGTCCAGGAAAAGAAAATGAAGTAGACAGATGGTAAGGAAGAAATAAAACTACCTCTATTTGCAGATGGTATTTCTATGTAAAAAAACCCAAGCAGTCTATCAAAACAAATAAATGCCTACAGTTCAGAAAGATTGTAGGATACCAAACTGACATCTAAAAATTAACTACAATTCTGTATACTACCAAAACTTGGGTGGAAACTTAAAGTTAAAAATCAATCCATTTATCATAAAGAAAAAAGACCACCTAGATATAAACTTTATAAAAATCATTCAGGACCTATTATTGAAATTTATAAAACAGTGATGAAATAAATCAAGCAATACTTAAATAAGTGTACAGACATACCATGTTCATAAACTGGAAGATACAACACCATAAAGAAGACAATTCTTAACAAACTAATCTGACAATTTAACTCAATTTCTATCGAAATTTGATACTTTTTTTCATAAATAGACAAGCTTCTCCAAAACTTTATGTGGAAAATCAGAGTAATGAGAGTGCTAAATCAGTTTTAAATAAGAAGAATAAAGAGAGATCATTTTATGCAACTAAAATATTTACCACCTAATTACAGCAATCAAGTAAACTAATAGTACAGGACCAAGAAAACGTCTGAGTATCAGCTCCTTAAAGCTGCATGAAGAAAATGTTTGTTTTTTAAAAATCAAAGCCTTAAACAGTCTTAACTGGTAAAATAAAATGTGCCCATTCATAGGTGTATTCTTATCTCCTCAAATATAAAAGTGTTTGATGGCTTTAGCCATTACATTTCTCACAAAAATTAAGCTCCTTATGAACAGAGACAATGTTTTAGAACAGAGAAGACATTCATGAAAGTTTCCAAACCTGCCCTCAACTAACTCTCTTGACACTGGACAGCAATGAATGTATGTACAAGACATATAAAAAGTCTAAGTCCTTTCACTCTCAACAAAACCCTCCTCCTGCCAAGTAAACTAAGGAATCCATGACAAAGTGCCAAAGGCTTGGCAAGGAAGTCTGAAAGAAAATGTGTTTGCAGTTCATTGTCTAAGTCTCCTTAAAAAAAAGAAAAAGGAAAAAAAATTCCTGAGATAACACTGCAGTGTAAATTAAGGAAAAGATACAGCTGAAGGTTTTCCTACATGCACATAACCGCTGGGTCTCTCCCTGGATGAGTTCTCAGTTGTAGAATAAGGCTCTAGGCTGGATGAATTTCCAGTATGACTCATTAGATGACAACAGATATCCTGCAACAGAAGGGTTTCTCACAGGGAAGAAAACTGAGGGGTTTCTCTTTGGTATGAATGATCAGATTCTGAGTAAGAGGTTTCCTCAGTGGCTACATTCAAAAAGTCTTTCCCCAACAGGAGCTCTTGGAGGTTGACCGAGGACTGCCCGCTCGTGAAGGGTCTCCCCACTTCTGCTGCGCTGCCACTGACGGGGTGTCTCCCAGTATGAATCCTCTGATGCTGAGTGAGGGAGGAGCTACGACTGAAGGCCTTTCCACACTCGCTGCATTCATAGGGCTTCTCCCCGGTGTGGATGATGGAGTGTCGAATAAGGTTTGTGCTCCAGCAGAAGGTTTTCCCACACTCGACACATTCATAGGGTTTCTCTCCACTGTGAA